TCCAAGTTACAAATGGCTTTTAAAACAAAAAGTAAATATTGGTAAACATTTGGCTTTGGAGTGTGGTGTTACTTAAGGCATAAATTACAGGTTCCAGAATGAAAGGCTTGCCTCCAACTTTTGCTGCTGTGTGACCTCAAGTAAATCATCTGATCTCAAAAGGGTTATCTGTTAAAGAGAGAAGTAGTACCTAGCTCAAAGAGTTATTGTAAGGATTAAGTAAAATAACAGGTAAAGACTTTGGCCCAATACTGTCAATGTGAGTGCTCAATAAATCTTAGCAATTAGCTGAGCACTGTAGCACACACTTGGAACAACTAGGGAGGCTGAGGTAGGAGGATCACAAATTCCAACCCAGCCTCAACAACCTAATGAGGTTCTGCTTATATATATATGACTTGGAATATATCTCAGTGGTAAAGCACCCCAGGTACAATCCACAGAACCAACCAAACAACAACAACAACAACAAAAAAAAAAAAACGAAGCTATTGCTGTATTGTTTTTCAGGACAACCATTTTCTCCTGCCCAGGTGCAGTGCTTAATGATTGCACTCTGGAGTTGCACATTGGACCAGCTCTCTCAACAGATCTACAGAATCAGTGTCACCATTCCTGCCTATCTTTTCACATATCACTGAGCAGTGATAAAAATGTCCCTATTCATTTTTACAACTTTATAGCCAGTCCTATTGTGTTAGTCCTGTGCTGCTGTAACAAAATACCTGAGACTGAGTAATTTACAAGCAACAGAAATTTATTTTTCACACAGTACTTTCCAAGATCAAGAGGCTGGAAGGTTCTGGTGAGGGCTGCTTCCAAGATGGTATCTTGTTGCTACATCTTCTGGAGGGGACAAACATTGTGTCTTCTCATGGTGGAAGGGAGTAAGGGCAAAGAGCCAAATACCATATTAAACCTCCTATGTTAAGGGCTTGATCCCATTCACAGGGAGGAGTCCTCATGACCTAATCAGTCACCAAAGGGCCCACTTCTTTATACCATGGCTCACTTCTAGTTACTCACTTAAGTTACTGTGAGAATTATGGAGGGGCATGAGCATTCAAACCACAGCACCCACTAAGCATCACCCCTTGGTGACTGTGGGTTTTATACCCTGCACATAGCTCCCTTTCCAAGTGATCCCTCTGACCCAGAAACTTGGTTTTCCATTCACTCATCAGGACCCAAGAAGGTTCAATTCTAGAAATACACCAGAAATGTACTCCCTCTTCACAGAAACTCAAAACTCCGAAAGTGCAAAGGGTGAGATATAAACTCTCATCAACCCAGATCTCATTTTTCCAGGTGGGGAGACCAAGGCCCCAAGATTAAGTGACTTGTCCATGTGTCACACTAGAAGTTGACATGGGAGCCAGGATGAAATTCCTCATTCAATTTTCTTCCAACCCTCTGTGCTCTCTACCTTTCTCCACCCTTGGTCCCAACACTGATCCAGATATAACTCATCACCCTACCAGGAAACTATCACAGGGCGGGCCATAGAGTTGGGGTTTCCACAGATCCTAGCTTAGATGTGCCATTGAGATACCCACATCTTCTTGCTCAGTCTTGCTCACACATAGCCTCCCCATCGTCTGCCCCACTGAGAGTTCTTCTGTTAGGTAGAATTGATGGCCTGAAAAGCTTCTCATGGCCCTCAGTAGCCTGTGGGAGGAGTGTGGGTGATGGAGCAGGAGATAGCAAAAACAAACTGGACACCTCCTGATAACAGGATGGCAGGGCCTGGTGGGCTTCCAAAACACCAGCACCATTCCGTGAAGGAAGACCTGCTGGCACTTCTGGATTTCTGTGGCAGCTCTGGAAAGCTCTTCCTACAGATTGCTGTCACCTTTACTTCAAAGCAGATGTGTGTCTCTTAAGCCTCAACAATCTTTCTAATCCTTCTTTCAAATTACCCCTCTGAGGAGCAAAGTGTTCTCAGACATGCCTGGATAATTAAGTCAATCAAACTGATGACTTCCCCAGCAAGAATGTAAGACAACAGGGGTCCTGCTTCTTGCCTTCCTCCCAGTGCCAACATCATATCCCCATAATACTTGATCATTGTCCTCTGAGGGTCCTGAGGGTCCAGGTATAGGGCAAGAAAATCGAAGTTCCAAGGACAGGCTTCCTCTGCTGAGCATGTTTGTCCCATTCAGCCTTCAGCCCTGCAAGACATTGCTCAGGAATGATGGCTAGAAAGGAGAAAAACCCTTTCTGTTCTGCCAGCCAGCATTTCTCTCTGGAATGTTCTCTCTCTTCTATTACTGCTAGTGAATCTCAATGAATAATCCCTCCCCCTACTTTGATGACTGTTGTCGTTCTGGTCACCGATGTTGCTTGGCTACCTCAGTCGAAGCCGGTAGAGATGTGGAATCAACACACAGACTCCGGGAGCTGGAGAGAGAACTGGCAGGAGCTAATCCTCAAGTCGTAGTCCAGTAGCTCAGTTTATTTTTGGAATGCATACAATTGTTATAGGGTTCGAGTGGGGCGTGCCCATCAATCTTACGAAAGCAAGATAGTATCCATAAGCCAATCATCTTCTGCCAACGTAACCGCACTATGAGGATGCTCTAAGTATTGCTATCATCAGGAAGGGTCTTTGTCCCTAGGGGAGGGGTTTTCTAAGAAGTTTTAATGCCTGAAGCTCCTGACTATCAGTTTCCTGGCCTGGCAGTTTGGCAACACTAACCACAAGTGCTAAGGATGTGGTTTCACTAACGGCTTGCTAGAGCAGAGCACCCTATCCTGCAGGCATTCCTATCAGGCCTGAACAAGTGTAGATTCTTTAAGCACTCCAAGCTGCACATAGCTGCTAGCTGCTAGCTGTAAACTGAAAATTATTCCAACAGGTGACATTCCAAGAGTCAGAAAAGGGTTTCTGACAAACATTGAAGTGAATTAAAGGTGGGAAGTTCGTTCTGTGTTGTGTTGCTGGGCATTTCATGATATAAAATGTCCAAGATAAAGAAACCTTTTGAAATCATTCATCTGAACCGTTTCAGAAAGGATGTCGCCACTGACATCCAATCTTGCTTTCTCTGGGTGGTGCGACTTGAGCAGTGTGTAGGAGTTTCATTATGTGCATAATTACCCCCTTTCACCTTCATACAAAGGTCCCTTGACAATACTTTGTGTAACTTTCTTGGGCTTTTGTTCCTGGCTTGACAGCCCAATCTATTGGAGCTTTTATATTATTGATGCTTTCTAATTTTTAATTATCTGGAGGTTTGGATAATCTGGGCTTGAGGAAATTTAGCAATAATACTACTTTGCATTCTACTATTACAAATACTATCTCTGGGTCACGTGTGACATTGAATCTTTAAACTCCAACCATCTCCCTAGTCTCTGTCAGTTGACTTTCACAAGCAACAGGAAAAGCAAACCAGCTCATGCAAAAGGTTGGAAGTGTAGGGAAGGGGTAGGGTTGGTTTTCAGAGCTCAGTGTCTTGAGAAACCACAGTATCTCTCTCTCTCCTTCCTGCTGTTCATGTTCACTCTGTTCACTGAGGGCTGTTCCCCTGTGTTGTTTAGATGGCTCCCACAAGTCTCTTGTTCACACATGCCTCCTGGCTTCAAGTTCAGGAAAGAATAAGCCTCTTGTCTGTTCCTTCTAACAGAAATCTTGGGATCTACTCTCCCTGGTCACAATTAGTCTTTTGGGGGCTTGTGCCCACCCCTGAACCCATGCAACTACAATGACTACTATTATTATCACTTAGCCCTCTACCCAACCCCACCCACCATAATTAGTCCTTGCAAAGCTAGGATTTGTTAGGTAAATCTGAAAATTTGCCACTGGAAGAGGTCTGCCCTGTCGAGGACCCACCCAGAAAAAGGAAATGGACCTCACCTCAGCCCTGGCAAGTTCTTGACTTATGCCACAGAAAGGAGAAATTCAGGATGCATCAAAAGGGGCACAAACATTTATTTAAGAAGGCAAAGAGATTTATCTAGGAAAGCAAGCTATAGTGCAGGATATGCACTCAAAGGGAGATAAAAGCTTTGAGGTGATAAAAGCTTTGGGGGTCTTGGGCTCTTCTTTTTAAAGGAAACTATAAATAGTGAATATGAGAAGTGGGGGGTGGGTAACCTCAGCTTGGTGGGCTCAGTTCTCTTAATCATGGAGCACAAGGCAGGTCACAGTGGTCTGATTCTCTCAGGATATCATTCAGTGGATACATAATGTTTGGAATATACCCATATCATAAATCTCTAATAATATTTTTTCAGTGGCTTTATTTAGTCTGTCTAAAATATGGTGCATAAACTAGAAACAAATGTAGATAATTTGTTTAATCATTTGGACTTACAATACTCTTAAGAAATCAAGGGCTTTTTAAGAATTTAGGCCTGGAGGAAAAGTCGGTTAGGGAATAAGGGTGTTTGAGGGGCTTCTTAAAGTTAGGATCCTTTCCCTTCCCTGTGGGTCTCCTTTCTACCTGTCCTTATTTCTTCTATCCCACTTCAGTATGACACTCCCTGATGAAGGTGCCTTCATGTCCATCCTCAAATTTGCTTTTCAAAGCAAATCTGGAAGTCAAGAACAAGTTTATAAGTGAGAAAATGGGGGAAACAAAAGAATAAAAGACTTATTTGGAGACCTCCAAGCTAGTTTTCTGGAAAAGCCAGGAGTATAAACCTAGATCTTTAGAGTTACAGTACCCGTTATTGACCAAGAAAATATTGTTGTTATGTGTTGTATCAATAAAACCCAGAGAACAGTTAGACAAGTCACTCTGGTTTCAAGTATTTCACTCTGAACTGAAAATCTCAGAGACTGTGCGAAATTTGCTTCTCTTATAGTTAAAGGAAACCCAGACCTAGGGGCTCTGTTCTGACGTGCGTCTATTTGGGTGCTCTGCTCGCTGCTGCAGGGTCCCTGGATGTCTCCTGTCCCCTTCTGTTAGTCTTTCGGTACAGGCTCCTGAAGGACCAGAACCCGGTGGAGATCTTTCTTTCCTCAAAGCGCCTTTTCTTATGAAGGAACATATAATTTCCCTCACTTTGGAAACTCCAAGATCTCTTCCTTCTAACGGCTCAGAAACCCGGGTGGACTTCCAGCCCCAGGAGGGCCTGTTGGACCGGTTCTGCCCCCGGCCTTTGTCGCGGGTCCAGCCCTCCCGGGGGTGGAGCCCTGCAAAACTTGGACCCCTCCGTACCCCGCCCCAGACTCGGGATTGGCTGTCCTCTGGCGGAGCCTCAGCGGGAGCTTGGGGACTTCTCGTGGGGAACTTCCTGGAGGGCCACCTCGGTCGCCCAGGCCACCCCTCGTGCAGCTCTGGGCCGATAGGACCTCGCGGGCCCCTCGCCATGTCGCGGCTCCTCATCCGCGGGGGTCGCGTGGTCAACGATGACCTCTCGCAGGTGACAGACGTGCTGGTGGAGGATGGCGTGGTGCGGGCGCTCGGCCGCGACCTGCTGCCGCCCGAGGGAGCGCCCGCGGGGCTGCGGGTCATCGACGCGGCGGGCCAGCTCGTCCTGCCCGGCGGCATCGACACGCACACGCACTTGCAGTTCCCCTTCATGGGCTCGCGCTCGGTCGACGACTTCCACCAGGGCACCAAGGTACCCGCCCCGCGCAGCCCGCGGGCCTCCCGCGCTGTCCCAGGGCAGCGGACGGCCAGGACCCGGTGGCAGGAACGAACCGCAGGGACCCGAGGGTGCACCGAGCTGGCGTCCCGATGCCCAGTGCGGAGCCTGTTCCCGTAGGCGCCGGGTTTCAGGGGCATCAGACCAGCCTTGGCCACCTAGGCGCCCGCTACTGCTCCCTTAGGGTATTTTGACAAGTTTAAGGCAGTCTCGGTGGCCTCGCCCTCATTTCTCTAAGCCCATCCTCTCAATCCCCCCCGTCCTTGGTGTTCTGTGGAAGTCCACGAAGTTTCTGTACTACCTATAGAGTCTTTCTAAAGTAGGCCCTCCCAGCCACTGTCCCCTCCCTTCATCCCAGCCAAAACCAAATGCAAAACCCATTCACTTAGGAGTCCTGCCTTGTCTCAGAGTTAGTGTGTGGCGGGGGCTGTCTGCTAGGGTAGGAAGCACGCCCCTTCCAGGCCTCACTCCCACTAGGAATCCTCCAGCCCGACCAGAGTTTGAAAGAGAAAAGATCCAGGGATGATCTCCCAGCACCCACCAAGACATCTCACCCCCTCCCTTCTCCCACTCTGGGGGCATCCAGTGTGGTTCTGATTCTTGCTGCCTGAGTTACTGATGGTGTAGGAGGGCCGTGAGGGAGGTTTGGGTTCCTCTAGAAGAAAGACTAGAAACTGGGCACAGTGAAAGGCGCCTTTAACATGTCCTCATCATAGGTTCTGGAAACAAAACAGGAAGTTAACAGGGTAGGCTTTACCGGAGAGTGAAGTTAAAATTCCACTCTCAGCACTGGGGCTACCGCCAAACCACACATTCTGGAGTCTCAAGTTTGGGACTGCCGGAGAGAAATAGTTCTTTCAAGACTGAATGTGTACTTATTTCTTTAAGGCCAAAGCTCTTCACTTGGGAATGTGTGTGAGGTTTCCCCCAGGATCATGCAGACCTGGAGGTGTATGTCAAATCAGGATTGTTTGACAGTCTTTTCAGATCAGTTTAAATGATCAGTGTTTAGTTTACTGTCCTCATTTTCAACTATTTTAATCTCTTTGCACCTCCCCCACCCTCCAAGTTCTCCAATCCTTTATGATTGACCACTAGGTTTAGCAGAAAGAAGAAAGGGAGGTAATTTGACCCAGAGACAAGGATCTGGGGCAGGCTGCCCAAATCAGCACTTAGAAAGCTTCTTCCTAGTTACTGATTATTGACCTTTATCATATGGTCAATAAAGTGTTTTTGCAGGACAAATCATTATCTGCTTTGAAAACTGGCAAGTTTCGTTTTTACATATTCCTTTTCCCCTTTTGCTAAAAAAGTAATGGGTGTTGAATTTTGATTAACTCATTTTTATATTTTTTTAAAGAATTTGTTCAGTTAGATTATAGAAAATTAGTCAAATGATAGAAAAGTACAAAGAATAAAAATATTACTAATGGAGAATTTGCCTTCAACAACAACTAGTGTTTTGGTGTATTGCCTTTTGCTTTTTAATGTGCTATATTTTACATAACTGAGATCATATTGTGTATATGTATATGATGAGTATATATGTGTGTAAAAGTGTAAATTTTTGTAATCTACTGTTTTCAATTATAGTGCATACATTTCCTGTTATCACTAAGACTCACACTAACAAAATGCTATATCAGGTTATTCCATTGAACACCCTCTTTTGCAAGGTGGGGAGCTACTGTTACCGACCATTAGTTGCCAGGCCCATTAGCAGTATTCTCCTCACACTGAGAAGTAGCTTTCATTTCTCTCTCCCCTCAAGGGTTGCACATGAAGTAGCAAAAATGAGGAGGAAGGGACATTTCTTCCCTTTCTCAAGATTGTCTATATGTGCATGGAGGTCCTGGAGGGTGGTTTTTAGTCTTTTATCTGTTCCTGTTGGACATTCTGGGATTTTTGTAGCATAGAGAGATTTGCAGTTTCTACCTGAGAAGGCAGGTCTTGTGGCATATTGTAGTCTGTTGCCAACAAATGAAAGGACTTACCCACCAGTTGTTTTTCTAGGGTATTTTTGTTCTTAAAAGTCTATTGAAACAATAAATAAAAACACATGCATGAGTTTAAGATCATAAGTCCAAAATGATAAGATTAGAGAGATGAAGGTCAAAGACTTAGCAAGTACAAAATTCCTGTTGAATATTAAACAGTACCCATAAAGAGGCTAAGTTACAAAGTCTACTTCAGAATTGGTTGGTTGGATCCAAGAGAGAGAACAGTTTCCTGCCCCAACCAGTACCCTCTGTACAGGGTACCAGCTGGATAAATGTGGATCACACAAGCACTAAAGTGCTGCCTGAGTTCTGGAGTGAGTGAACCCTGGAGTTCTTTTGTCTTCTTTCCTAGTCTTCACAATAATTTCCAAGGCAATGTTGGTTAGTCTCTGGTTTGAGAAATCAGGGACAAAGAAGCCTTTTGTAAATACTGGTTGTATTATATATGAAACTTGAAAAATGTCTTCTTCTTAGTGCTGTTAAGTAACATTTATCAAGCACTTGCTACATACCAGGCCCTGTGCAGTTATTTTCCAACAATCCTGGTTGCCATTATCAATTTTTCATAACTAAGGAAATTGAAGCAAGTTACCTGGCTAAGGTCTTGTCATACACCTAGTAAATGTCCAAGTGGCTCTTCAAATTCCATTACTGCCTGACTCTATCACTAGAGCTCTTACCTTTTAGACTCTATGCCTTTGAACAAATGTCTAATACTCAGATCTGTCAGAGTGGGAAGTGATGGATGAGTACGCTGTGTAAGGAGCATGCTAATAGGAGATGGCTTTTCTCAAAAATAAAGCAGAGTCATCCTCAGGAAATGCAGTCGTCCTTCACTTTCTCAAAGATGGAGGCAGTTTAGGTCATCAAAATAAATGTGTATCACAGGTATTATCTTTGTAAGGCATTTGTGCATACATTTATAGCAATATTATCTCAAAGAGTACAAAAGTGGGTACCTGAAGTACAGAAAGCCATAAAGAAAAAATGATATGTAATGCTTTCAGGAGATGGGCCCCCAAAGGTTAGACAACTATTTGCTTTCTGTGTCCACCAGCCTGTCCATTCATAATATATGACATGTTTGAGGGAGGCTGTTTGTGGTATTCTATTTATTGATCCCTCATTGTGATGGCACCTAATTTTTAAAAAGAAATATAGGTCAACTAAAGGTTATATATTTTGTAAATTTAATTCATGTCAAAGATTGGTTTAAAGCCTGCAATTGACTTACTTAATTACAGGTAAAAGCTTTCTATCTGATGTAACTAATGGAAATAATGTGCTTTATGGAAATCATATTTCATTTTGTTGTTCTATACTGGATGTACAGTGGTCTTCTAATAATTCAGTATTCATGAGGAAGGACAATAGGATTTTTTTATTCAATGAATATTCAATAAAGGTGAAGGAATTACAATTTTGTTTTTATTATGTCCCATGATAAGAGGGTCAATTAAAAGACTTCAGCAAGTTTTCAAATATTTATGTTTATGTTTGTACATTCATGCAGGTCAGAGTGAATGGAGTCCCATTAAAAACCTGGTAGAGGGGCTGGGATTGTGGCTCAGAGGTAGAGCGTTCTCCTAGCATGTGTGAGGCACTGGGTATGATCCTCAGCATCACATAAAATAAAATATTATGTCTGCCTATAACTAAAACAAACAAAAACACAAACAAACAAAAACCTGAAGTCAGTAGCTAGAAGTAGGATCCTCTTTTTTAAAAACTGGAAAAACATTCATCACACTTTTTTTTTTTTTTTTTTTGTCTTTTTGGTTAAGGGCAAAAATTTCTCAAAGTTATTGAAAAAGGAATCCATGCTTTGCTTTGGAACTTTTTGGTAAAATGCCATCGAGATGATTACTTAGAAGGCATGTGATTAAGCACACATTTATGGTTGTATTTATAGAGCTTTCTCACCTTGTGGAAGAGCTGTGCTTCAGAAACCCTGAACTTCCATTTTCTGTCATTTGCCAGGGCTGGGCTTCAGGGAAGAGCTGGGTGGACTGACCCCATGACCTCGGGCAAGTCACTCCCTCTCTCAGGGTTGTCACCCTTTCCTTATCTGTGAAATGAGGCATTGGTAGGACAAACAACAGTTTTGTTGTTAAAAGGCATAAAATATATGTATGCTTCACCTCCAGCCCTCAATAAGATTCTGGTACATTATAGTCACTCAATATACACTCACTGAATGAATAAACTGCTTTTTTAAAAAAGAGAAACACAGAAGAGAATGAAGAAAAATAACATCCCAATCACTTATAACTTCACCATTTTGCTACCTGTTTTATATTTTTCTTTTTCTTCTTGCTATTTGTTTCAGAGTTTTTAGCTGGGGAAGAACATACGAACTTTTTTTTATTCTACTAAATGGTTTGTAGTCAGCCATGTGCATTAAACATTTCCCCATATCCTTAAATTTTATAATTAGAGAACATGATTTTTCTGGTGCCATTATTCTCTCTGAGGCCGAGTCTTATTCTACTCTCTGGCCTCAGTGTCTCTTGAGCATCAGGCCAGAGTTCCTGTCTTCAGATATCACAACCTGGATGCTCCAGAGCCTCTCAAACTTAGCCTTTTGCAAACCCAATGTATTGTCTCTTCCAAGTGCCTGGCCTGTTTTTCTTCCTGTTTCTCAAACTGTTAATGGCTATGCTTATCTCTATGATGGGTACTTTGGACCTTCCAGGGTTTTTTATTTTGTTTTTTGTTTGGTGTATTTTGGACCTTAACTGCCAGGTAATACCAAATAACCCCAGATAGAGGATTCTTCAAGATGATCGCTAGCTTCCATTAACTCAGCCAACACATATTTATTGCAAATCCATCAAATGCCAGGCATTGTGGTTGACACAGGGGTGATAGAGATTAAAACCACGGTCTTTGTTCTCAGCAGCCGATAGACCACAGGTATATGAGCCTCTAACTTGGGCCTAAATAATAAATTGCAGTCACTAGGATTAAGGCCTT